CACCGCAGCCGGTGGAGTGCTCTGTTGAGCGCGCTGGTCCATCTGTAATGGATTGACCAGACGTTTCATCCAGGGTTTCTCCAGAGGACAGGATGTCGATTGCAGCATCGGAGGGTGAGATGATCTGTGGAGATGACGACTCGGCTGCGTTATCCCCTTCGGGGAGTGTAACGTTGCCCGAGCCAGATCCACAGCTGTCAGCTATGCTGAAACGGGCTGCTGAGGCTGTCGGGCTCGAGTGGAACCCTCCACCGTTGTCCCGCTCAGTCTCGGTTGGATGATTGGTTTCTCGGGGCGGGCCGCGCTGGTTCTCAGCCCTCCGCCCCAGTTCCTTTCTTTCCCGAAATGCATGGAGAGCTTACTAGGTCGTGGACGGCACCTTTCACTGCCGGAAACTGCCTAGAGAGCACCTCCCCCCTCACTACCCTTGACGGAGGAGTGGTGAAGGGTTACGAGATGATCCCTCCTGTAGAGCGGTCTGTCGCGGCACACCTGTGTCCGGCGGCCGCTACATCAGGGAGTGGGGATCCTCGTCTCCCCACTCAGGCCTGTGAGCTCTCGTCTGTTCTTATGGACAGAGCTTACAAAGCTTGTTGGCAAGCTGCTTCCTCTTTGCATGCCATGGCGTTGCTACAGGTCTATCAGGCCAAAGTACTCATGGACATGCACGAGGGTAGCCTAGACCGTGCGCTCATGAGTGAGCTCCGCACCGCAACCGACTTGGCTCTCCGGAGCACGAGCGCTGCGGCCTGCGCGATCGGCCTAGCGATGTCCACCCTGGTGGTCCAGGAGCGCCATCGTTGGCTCAGCCTGGTTGATATGGCGGATGCGGACAAGGTTCGGTTCCTGGACTCCCCAATTTCCCAGGTTGGGCTTTTCGGCGATGCGGTGGATAACTGCGCCCAACAGTTCTCTGCTGCTCAAGTGCAGACGGAGGCCATCCGGCACATCCTGCCCCGGCGGCCAGCTGCTGCCTTCACCCCGCCACCGGTGGCAGTTCCTCCGCCTGCTCGTCACCGAGGGCGTCCCCCGGCCGCCGCTTCTGCTCCTGCTGAGGTCCCGCAGCAGCCTTCACCCAGGCCTCAGCGTGGAGCAAGCCGCAGGCAGGCCGCCCAGCCTGTCTCAGGCGCTAAGATGAAGCGTCCCTGAGACAGGCCACCCAGGGATGGGGGGACGAGCTCTTCAGATGGTTACCGTTCCGCCACTGGCTCCCCGGAGTCCAGTGGCACCCAAATTGTCAGAAGAGCAAATTCCTCCGCTCCTGGGTCCCAAGAGAGTAAGGCTGGCGGTGTGCGACCCTGTGAATCGGCTTTGCACCCCTCAGCCCCCTCTTGTTCGCCAGCTGGCAGCACGATGCGTTCGAGGACTCGGTCATCCGCCTTCTCACGTATCCCCTGTTGCCTTGTGGAGACAGGTAAGTGTTGCTCCGCTCACTCAGACCCCGCATCGGGCCGCCCCCGGGCCTTCCGAGCCAGGTCCCTGTCTTCCACCTCACTGCCCCACTCCGGGTACGTCTGTGGTGCCCCTGATCCCCCTGGCCCGGTTTGTGGAAGCCTGGAAAGTGCTTCCCAACCAGTCCAGCTGGCTCCTCCGTACCATCAGACTCGGCTACACGATTCAGTTCGCCCGGCGTCCACCCAGGTTCAGCGGAGTTCGTTACACTTCGGTGTTGAACGAACGTGCCCCTCTCATGCGCGCGGAGATCGCAGTCCTACTGGCGAAGGACGCGATAGAGCCGGTTTCACTAACCGATTTGAAGACCGGCTTTTACAGCCCGTACTTCATTGTACCCAAGAAAGGTGGTGGGTTACGGCCAATCTTGGGCGAATTTTGAATCGGGCCCTTCACAAGCTTCAAAATGCTAACGCAGAGACGCATTTTCGAATGCATCCGTCCCCGAGATTGGTTTGCAGCGATCACCCTGAAGGACGCGTGTACTTTCATGTCTCCATCCTGCCGCGACACAGGCCATTCCTGCGCTTTGCATTCGAGGGTCGAGCATATCAGTACAAAGTCCTACCCTTCGGGCTGGCCCTGTCGCCCCGTGTCTCTCTCATGGGAGCAGGGTGTTCGTATCCTCAACTACCTCGACGACAGGCTGACCTGGTCGTCAGGTTCCTGAGGGGAGCGAGAAGACTGAATCCGCCTCGCCCCCCCTCTTGGGACCTTTCTCTGGTGCTGACCGCACTGCAGAGACCTCCCTTTGAGCCTCTGCAGGCAGTTGAGTTAAAAATCCTGTCTTTAAAAACAGTTCTCCTGTTTGCGTTGGCTTCCATCAAGAGGGTAGGGGACCTGCACGCATTTTCGGTCGACGAATCGTGCCTGGAATTCGGGCCGGCTAACTCTCACGTTGTTCTGAGACCCCGGCCTGGATATGTGCCCAAGGTTCCTACCACTCCCTTCCGGGACCAGGTAGTGAACCTGCAAGCGCTGCCCCCGGAGGAGGCAGACCCAGCCCTGGCTTTTCTCTGTCCCGTCCGCTCCTTGCGGTTATACGTGGACAGAACGCAAAGCCTCAGGACCTCAGACCAGCTCTTTGTCTGTTACGGAGGCCAGCAGAAGGGAAAGGCTGTCTCCAAGCAGAGGTTGGCCCACTGGATAGTGGATGCCAGCATCTTGGCGTATGACTCCCAAGGTGAACCTTGTCCCCCCGGACTGCGAGCTCACTCCACTCGGAGTGTAGCCGCTTCCTGGGCGTTGGCGCAGGGTGCCTCGCTGACAGTTGTTTGTAGAGCTGCGGGCTGGGCGACACCTAACACGTTCGCTAGATTCTATAGCCTACGCGTCGAGCCAGTTGCTTCCCGTGTGCTCTCTTCACATAGAAGACAGTCAACACCGTAAGCCCTGCTCGAAGTGTCGGCTTGCTGTGCCACTCCCCTCCTATGGACTGGATACGTGCGCCATTCTTGCTCCAGTTGAGTTCCCCTTTCCGAACCCTGTTGAGTTCCTCCACACCCCTGCGGCATTGGACGTGGCGGAGCGTCCGATGCTAGGCCTACCACTTGTATGCATGGGTGGAACTTGTGCTAGGCTGGGTCCATATGTTGTGATCCCTACGGCAATCCCATATGTGTATTCTTCCACGGTACGGCTCCCTGTGGCGAGCCCGTGTCTTTCCCTTCGCAGAGTTCTTCTGCCGTCACTGTCCGGCTGAGTCTCCCCCCTGTTATAGGCTGGAGCCATCCCAGTGACATTCCATATGTTGTACTGCCCGGTCTCCGCTCAGTTCATATGTGTATTCCACGTTACCTCCCTTCGGGCAGGATGTGGCTTCCGTAGCGTCCCTCCTTCCTTCGATAGGGCACACTTTCCCAGTGTTCCAAGTCTAACTGAGTGGGTCTTGCGGAACAGCAGTGACTTTCCTGGCCTAAACCCTATCCCTTCTCCGCCTCAATAATGCGGGGGGTTTAGAAGGCTTTTGTCTAGGCACTGGAAGGTGGCAGCACTAGGTGGCGTTTTTATTGGGATCCCAATCAGTCGACTACGTTGAACGTGAGCGACTGAAAGGGAACGTCTCGGTTACGTATGTAACCCTCGTTCCCTGAAGGAGGGAACGGAGACGTAGTCCCGTCGCCACTATTGCTGGACCACCGCTGACTCCGGTCTCCGCTCGGCTCCTCAGCGAAAAACAACTGGTGCGTGCATCCACTTCCGTATTTATACCCGCGGCGCGGGGCGGAGTGCGAGATGCAGATCTCGCATGCCAATGTGCATTGGCTCATTTTAATAATACTCGAAGATGACAGGCTCCCTAAGCGTGATCCCAATCAGTCGACACGTCGACTACGTCTCCGTTCCTTCCTTCAGGAAACGAGGGTTACATACTTAACCGAGACGTTTTTACCATTTCTTAAAATATTGCCTACTTTTAAACTCGTTTAACAAACTTTTAAGCCTCTTTTGATTCACAGGAGAATGTATATTTTTTTTCAAATTTTGAATAAAAAAAGAAAACTATTTCAAAGTTTGCGTTCTCAGGCCACCAATATGCCGTTGTCATGTAAATGAATGGCCAGAACGTATTAAAAGTTTTCTGTTTTCACTTGAAAATGGTGTTGTGTAAGCGGACCCTAAGTTAATAACTAATGATTTTTACAACAAAAATGAATCAATCAAAAACTTACTTAAGCTGGACAATGACTTTTTTAGAGCCTAAACAATCTTATTTGCATTCATTTCCTATTATCAGAGTAAAGCTGCTTTGAAACATTCTGTGATGTAAAAAGCACTATATAAATGAATGTGACTTGACTTGACTAGAGGCGACATTTTGTCTGCTGGAAATGCATGCTTAGTTTTAATGTTATTTTAAGGTGGGGTAGAATTAGATGAATGACAATACTCCGCATTTTTTTCGCAGATCCCCTCTGTCACCTCATGTACCCCCAGTTCGGGAACCACTGTCTTAGGATTTGTTGTCGATCAGGGAATCTCATCTCTGGCCCTCGAGGTCCACTAAAGTCTTTAGTTCCATAATGAAACACACCTGAACAAACAAATCAAAGTCTTCAGGATTACTAGAAAGTTGCTCGTAGGTGAGTTTAATTAATTTTGGAAGTAAACTCTGCAGGAAAGTGGATCTCGAGGGCCAGAGTTCAGAACCCCTGCTGTAGATGATAACCAGAACACCACTGAGTGTTAACACTGTAACATACTACTCTTCATTGTTTTATCATTTTGCATACTCTTTCATATACTATTTTATACATATAGATATAGTATGCAGTGACCAGTGATCCATGCAAGTATTCCATCCATGTGCATGTGTGAGTGTTTAAGACTCAGTTTCTCTAATTTAAGTGTGTAATCATATTTTAATACTGTGCGTGCCTACAGAGATTTGCTATGTTTTTTTTTATTTTTTTTTATTTTTATGAATCAGTAAAGTCTACAGACTGTATCTCCAGTCTACCGTACATAGTTCCATCTTAACACTTCAGTGGTCTAAACCCTACAGAGAAATTGCTGCTGAAGTTACCTGTCTCACTGTGTGGGTTTAGCTCCAGCAGTGGCGCATTCAGCAAGAGGAGGCTGCGGAGTTGGAGGCTGCTCTTGCTGCTTATTGGCACAAAGAGGAACTGGAGACATTGAGGAAAGAACAACAGAGAGAAAAAAATAGAAGAGCTCAACTGACACAGCAGGTACATTTTAATGAAAACTTTAATGACAGCACATGTGATGTCATCATTATTTAAAGTCAGGATGAAAACCAAACTATTTCCATAATGTGATGTAATGTTAAAGGAGAACTCCGGCGCAAAATGAACCTTTGGTCTAATTACACATTGTTACCTAGTCAACCGTTATCTGAGATTTGTTTTCATGATTATCGAATGTAAATAGTTTTATCTCTAAAAACAGTTTAGCCTATAAAGCTAGTATAACGCTAGTATATTGGGCATAGTGTAATGACAAATAAAAATCGCTTGTTAATACCACTAACAAGGCTGAAAATAGACCCACACGGTAGCATAATGAGGGTCCCTACCTTCAAACCGAAGCATTGAGAACTTTGTATGTGTACAGACAGTTTAATAAGAAGATATTTTAAACATACAGTCAACTTCGCGTATAGGCAGAAGCCATCTTTGAAATACAGCCTTTACCAGTCGATCTACGAACGCCGATCCAAGTGCGCTGGTGAGATGTGAACGAGCTATAAGTTGTGATAAGGTGAGCGCGAACAGCAGGCTTGGATCGGCGTTCGTAGATCGACTGGTAAAGGCTGTATTTCAAAGATGGCTCCTGTCTGTATACGCGAAGTTGACTGTATGTTTAAAATATCTTCTTATTAAACTGTCTGTACACTTACAAAGTTCTCAATGCTTCGGTTTGAAGGTAGGGACCCTCATTATGCTACCGTGTTAGTGTGGGTCTATTTTCAGCCTTGTTAGTGGTATTAACAAGCGATTTTTATTTGTCATTACACTATGCCCAATATACTAGCGTTATACTAGCTTTATAGGCTAAACTGTTTTTAGAGATAAAACGATTTACATTCGATAATCATGAAAACAAATCTCAGATAACGGTTGACTAGGTAACAATGTGTAATTAGACCAAAGGTTCATTTTGCGCCGGAGTTCTCCTTTAATAAAAACAGAATTATTGAATACATTTTTTATGAGCCTTTTTCATAAATTTTCATTTTTATTAACACTTGTAAGTCATTATTACATTATGATTTATCAGAGCACTCTGAAAAACTCAGTGTAGTCCAGTGTGAGTATTAGTAAAATACTTGGAACCCCAAGGCTCTGTCCTCAGCCCATTAGCTTGATAAATGTAATGTGAAAGTAAGGCCGTGCGATTGTGTTGGGAACTTTAAATGTGTGTGGCCAAGTTGCCTTGTTCCTGCTTCCCTTCACTTCCTGCAGAGCTGTGTTTTGTCCCTGATTAATGACGTTTATGAGAAAGAAATAGATTATACCGATCTTCGTACTTTCTCCATTCACACAACACATAAATTCATCTCTAAATGTCTACATAATTTTTTATCTAAAACTATACAAATGTCTTTGGCTTTATGGTTCAGCCAAAAATGTTTCTAGTTTAAAACAAATCACATGGGTTTCTTTCTCTCTCAGATAAATAGGTTCCATGCAGAGAAGCAGAGGAAAAGAGATGAGCAGAGAAAGAGGGATATGAAGAGGCTTGCAGAACTGAGGAGAGAGATAGAAGAACAGATGCAGAGAGATAAAGAAAGGTAAAGTACTTTGGTTGGAGAAACAATTTGACAAAAAAGGCCAAATAACCAGCAAACCTTTAGTACCAGCCTTGCGAACTATACAGCTACAGATACTGTAGATCAGACACACTATTATCATGAATCATTTTATAAGAACAAAGATTTCATACATTTCCACCAAATATACTATCTGAATTCCTTTCAGTACAATTAATGTATGTTTTAACACATTTGTTTTAACCATTGTTGTTAGAGCTGGATTCAGTTTATAATTGTCATCACCCAAAAATGTTCATGGAAGCCTCTGCATGGCATGTTTCATATATTATAATGATTTAGTAAAAATTGGTAAAGTAGGTAAATAATACTGTTTATTATTATGTAATAATACTGTTTATAGTATTATGTCAAATAAAAAATAAAAATAAAATTGCATTCTTCATTATGTTTATTTAGTGAAACGTTTAATTATCTTAAATATACATATATTCTTTTTTAAACTGTATTTTACTTTTTGCTTTCAATATTTTGAATCAACTAGGAAACTTTGTTGCTTAAATTATGATCATGATTCCTCTAATTGAAAAAAAACAACCCTTTAAGCCTTTTCAGAGCAAATACAATATTGAGAAGTACTGTATGCAGAATATTGTCAAAATGTTGACTAATGTAATCAGAATGTTATCATATAATTTTTTCAGTTGTATCATTAGTTGGATATGTTGTGCAGGGTGAAGTTCAGGAAAGAACTGTTACAGCAGAAGCTGCAGATGCATGAAATTAAAGAAAAACAAAAACAGAAGGATGATAAGGAGAGAGAGGAGAGACTTCAAGCTTTATGCAACCAGGTACATGTTCGCACATGCATTTTGCACATGCAAATGCCCAGACACTCTTAAAGCTCTAATCTAATCTAATGATTTGTATCAGGGCCTAAGTCTAGGTTAGAGCATCATTTTGGTGAAGCAGTGACAGCTCGTTGTGCGTATTTGTTTGGTTTACAGGTCTCTAAAGTAGCTGAGGCCAATCCAGAGAGGATGATGGGAAACACAGAGGCATGGAGAGTACGTCAACTTCCAGAAGAAGTCTTTGCTTTGCAAAAACCACTGTACCAGCTAAATACATACACAGATAAACAGGTAGCACATGCACACAACACACACAGCACATACTGTAGATACCTATCGCACACACACATACACATTCACCTCCCACATACAAACACACATGAAGCCTTTTGTTACACTGAGAACAATAATCCGACCAACCTTTGTGTTGAACCAGAAAAAGAATCAGGCACATGAAATATAGGCTATTTCACCTTTTTCCTAACAAGCCTACTGCGTTTTAGATTATAGGTGGCCCCTCCGGTTTGGGGAAGTTCCACTCAAAAAGACTGAAACAAATCATTTCAAATCATACGGTTAATCCAAATAATCCATATCCGTCCATTTGTCTGAATGAGCTGCAAAACTTTAAGAGAATAAAATAACGCTTGGTATTTTAAAGTGACGTGGTATGACAAGAATATATATGGAGAGAGCTCTTTTCAGTTGCTGCATTCTAATCCTCCTGATGATTTCCTTTTTTCCTTTTGTATTCTTGGTAACAGTATGAAAAAGGACAACATATACTGCGCATTTGTGGTCTGCTCTCCCGATTTAATTTACAATATATCCCATTAAAAATTCACTGGAATGCACTAGACATGTGAGCAATTAAGAACATGCACAATATTGTTATCGTGGGTACTTCAAAATACAGTAAATTCCTTATTATGAATTTTTTTTTTTAGAATGCATTATTAAGTATATCCATCAGACTTTTGGTCAAGTCACCTTCATTTATAAAACGCTTTTAACAGTATGGATTGTTTCAAAGCAGCTTTACAGTGATAATAGAAATTACCGTAACAGATTGTTTAGGCTTTACCACTGCTCTAGGATAAAATTATTGTCCAGCTAAAGATAGTTTTGATTGATTCACTTCCGTTGCGAAGATCATTTGTTATTAACTTAGGGGCCGCTAACATGACACCTTTCTAACTGAAAAACCCTTAACACGCTCCGGCCGCCCATCCGCACAAAACAGTGCCTGCTGTCTCGAGAACGCACTCCCTGAAATAGGTTCGAAGGGTCAAATGAATATCTGTTTTCTCTGTGCAAACCTCAAAAGCGCAAACCCGCGAAAACGCAGACGGCGTGCACATACGCATCACGTGTTCAGTCGATAGGTATGCACATATATATATGTGTGCAGGCGTGTAGTCCTTCACAAATCAACCCTCAACAAACTACTTGTCTGGCCTTAAAAATGTATAATACATACATTTTTGTCACGTCTGCATAGCCACGCAAACCGGAATTATCCCGACAACGTTTTATCTGTACAGAGGTAAAGGGTAGGAGGCCTTCACAGGGTAGAGACTAGTTGACACTTCAGGACTGCGTTGTCATCGTGTCCAGGCGCTGGTCCTTCCTCAGATCTGGATACGGCCTGGATCCAGCGGACTGCGGTAAACCTCGGGATAAACAAAGAGACTAATATTAACGTAGCATCCTTCTTATGATGTACCAAGTACATCAGGATTTATGGGAAGAGTTCCCGGTCCCAAGCTGATCTAAACTATGCAGCCTAACATTGAATTATAGAAGTCTATAATGTGTTATGTGTATGCTAGGCCAAAGAGATGTGTTTTTAGTCTAGATTTGAACTGACAAGTCAAATCAAGTCACCTTTATTTATATAGCGCTTTTTACAATACAGATTGTATCAAAGCAGCTTCACAGTGATAACATGAAAATAATACAAGTTTGTTTCTAGAAGAAAATTGCGTCATCGTCCACCTGAAGTAAGGCAGATCAGTAATATTGTTGAATATTAAAATGTCCCCAACTAAGCAAGCCAAAAGCCAAGGTAACAGTGGCAAGGAACCAAAACTCCATCAGGTGACAGAATGGAGAAAAAAACCTTGGTAGAAACCAGGCTCAGTCGGGGGCCAGTTCTCTTGACAGAGTGTGTCTGCTTCCCGGACAATGTTAGGAAGATTATTCCAAAGTCTTGGTGCTAAATAGGAAAAGGATCTACCGCCAGCAGTCGATTTTGATATTCTCTAGGTATTATCAACTGGCCAGAATTTTGAAAACGCAATAGACGTGAAGTACTATAATGCGTTAAGAGATTGCTCAAGTACTGGGGAGCTAAACCATTTAGTGCTTTGTAAGTAATCAGCAATATTTTAAAATTTATACAATGTTTAATAGGGAGCCAATGTAGTGTTGACAGAACCGGGCTAATATGGTCATACTTCCTGGTTCTGGTAAGAACTCTAGCTGCTGCGTTTTGGACCAGCTATAGTTTGTTTATGGGCAACCACCCATTATAGCATTACAATAATCTAGCCTTGATGTCATGAACGCATGAACTAATTGTTCTGCATTTTTCATTGAGAGCATATGACGTAATTTAGATATATTTTTAAGATGAAAAAATGCGGTTCTCTTACGAGAGGTTCTCTCGTATTGCGTAAGTTTAGCTTACGCTACGGGAAAGATTCATCTTCTCGAGATATTGAAGCCAAAAAATTATCCTTAATTTTGTATTCATTGTCAACGCAGTGCAGCAGCTAGCAGACCTAGAGCAGGCCATCTCGTGTGCTCATTGGCTGCCCTGCTGGCATCTGCTGCAGCCTACCAGTGAGCCCCGCGTGACGTCACGCCCAATGAAGGGCGCTCGCGCCTTCATAGCGTCACAGCCCGCCAGAATGGGCGCGGCTTAGCCTATAAAAGAAGGGGCTGTAGGCTGACTTCCCTGATTTTTCGACTCTTCAGCGAGCTCTCCGCATGGCTGGATCAGAGAGAAGCCACCGCCGCCGTCGAACAGCGAACAGCCAGCTTAGGACAGCGCTGAGGAAGCCGGCCGTCCTCGCCACCTTCAGCCATCCGTGCGAGCTACGCTATCCGGCGACGTATCCTTTTTACTCTGTTGTATTCTCTTCTTGCTTCTCCTAAAAGAGCGCGAGTGTCTTTTTAAAGATGCCTCGCATTTCCTGCGGCTCGTGTAGGGCCCCGGAGACAGCCGGAACCTGTGGCCACTGCGACGCGCTCGCCGGAGAACCTCCCTCGAGCCTCGCTCTCGCCTTCCGCGCCTCTCTTCACCGAAGCGCAGCTGCCGCTTACGAGCCTCACTGCCGTCGCGTCTGAGGATGAGGTTGAGGGACACGCCACAAGGGACTGCTGTTCTAACCGCGGCTAGCTTCCTTTACGTTACAAGGAAGCTACCGCGCCCCCCATAGAAGCAGTCACTTCGCCCTTTGTGGGACCGCGCAGTGATAAGCGCCGTTCCCAAAGGCAGCCGGAGCCTGTAGCCACAGCGACGCGCTCGCCGGAAAGCCTCCCTCGAGCCTCGCTTTTTCACCTTCCCCGCCTCCCTTCACCGACACGCAGCTGCCGCTCACGAGCCTCACTGCCGTCGCGTCTGAGGATGAGGTCGAGGGACACGCTATGGACTGCTGTTCTAACCGCGGCTAGCTTCCTTTACGTTACAAGGAAGCTACCGCGCCGCTCGCGCTCTCAGTTATCTGCTCGCGCTACTTAAGCTTACGTAGTTTCCCCCGTGGCTCAGTGGCTAAACTCTAAGCTTTCGCGCCAGAGACCCGTGTTCGATCCCGGCTCTCGCAGCAGAAAAAATTTATGCAGCTCTCCTCTCTGAGCTCGCGACCAGCTTTCTTACGTACAGAAAGCGAGCGCGAGCGCGCGCCCCCGAGCGCATGCGTCACCGGCGAAAGAAGGAGAGAGTGTGGTTTTTTGTCCCGCCGAGGCCTGACAAACCCCCTCTTTTTCTCAAACATTTTCCAGCTCCTCCTGGTTCGAGCGGCTGGTAATGTCTATACTGCAGTAGAGAGCCTGTTATAACACGCACGCCTGCAGACAATGCCGACACGCACACGAAAACTGTGATGACGCTCTCTCTCTTATCTGCTCACGCCAACTAAAGCTTATGTTGTTTCCCCTGTGGCTCAGTGTTTAAACCATTAAGCTTTCGCCCCGGAGACCCGTGTTCTATTCCGGCTCCCGCAGCAGATAAAATTTATGCGGCTCTCCTCAGCGAGCCGCCGTATTCAAGTTTATTTTCCTGTCAGTCCCCTTCAATCAGGCTACTGCAGTGGTCCATTTAGCAGCCAACGAGCCGGTTCATTTGCCCTCTCGCCTGCACACATACGCCGTTTTCACGGCGACCCAGAGAAAATCTCAAAGAGTATAATGTCTGGTCCGGCTCACGCCGTTGGTGTTTTAAGTGTAGTGAAAGTGCCCACGCCCCAGTGTTCACCCCTACACACAAGCACATCAAATCTCGTGTCACTCACAGAGCACACTCTCATAAAGCGCAGAAAAGCCGCTCGAGTGTTGAGTATAAGGAATGTGTCCACAGGTCTGTGCCCACTATCTGCCCGCTCTGTTACACGGTCAATAAAACAGGTTATGAATGTAAGTCTCGTGCCCGCCGGAGAGCGTTCACGCTTACTGACACACACCTCCCCCCGGGCGCCGCCCACGCGTTTCAATGTTATCACAAAACGCAGGGCATTGATAAGACACTCCCCATCCGTTATGATTGGGGCGTCAAATACACTTGTAAGTCTCGTGCACACGCGCTCACTCTTACAGAAAGCTTTTCCACCCAAAGCGCTGCTCGCGCGTCAAAAAGTGAGAATAAAATGCTCCCCATCCCTTATGATTGGGACACCTCACATAAATCAGACGGTCTCGGCTTTCAGCGAGCAGCCATTGCCCAGAACCAAGAGCGCGCGCGCCGCGCTTTCGGCTCCGGCTCAGTTTCACAAGCCCGCAAATGGCGGCGATCTGAACCCGGAGGCCATTCGCCCCCTAGCGGCTCGCATAGCTGCGTGGGAAACTATCCCAGGGATTTTCAGAATGGGTTCTGAGCACAATAAGCAGGGCTATACACTTCAATTCATTCGCCGTCCCCCGCGCTTTCGAGCCCGGACCGCGACGATAGTGAATGCGGAAGTAGCACACCTACTTAAATAGCAAAGCTGCTGTGCAAAGGGGCTATTGAAAAGGTGCCGCCTTCTCTGAGCGGGTCAGGCTTTTACAGCCGTTATTTTCTCGTACCCAAG